TTTAATGCGATTTTAAGTGCAATTTTTCCTAAATTGTTAGCCAAACTAGAAGCTGGTTCCCTTCTGGCCAAAAAGACTTTCATGTAATTTTCGTATGAAAAATATTATTATTAATTTCTTTTCAATTCCTATTATTATTGCATTAAAAAATTTAAAAAAGAAAATGGTTTTTTATGCCTTGAAATATAATATAAAACTTCCAAGAGCCCTTTAAGAACTTAAAGCCTCGGAAAGAATAATATCGAAATTATATCATCTAAAACTAAGATCTCTATGATACCATCTGTAAGTTTTGTTTGATGGAGAAGCAGAAATAACGGGAATTAATGAAATAAAACTCAATAAAATGTGACCTCACTAACTCGCCAGACTTTATTATTGAACTATATTTTTAAGGAAATAAATTCTTGTTCCCATCCACATATAACTAAAATAAACTAAATCTTTCTGCGACATATTTGCAAAATATTGATAGAGATACATAAAATGTAATTTGCAACGTGGACTATTGCAACCTTAACCTAGGTCGTTTCTCGAATGAAATAATTTATAATTGCAACAAAGTGTAATTAACGATAAACCTTTTTATCAAATCTCGTAATCAAGGAGCAGCATGAGTTACGTTTGTGTGTATCCGATATGAATTGTATGAATTACGAGTCCCTTTTATTTTTTACACGTGGAGCCGTCATTATAAATCAGTCGCGCGCAGCAACCTGTTTCAAACTTATGGAAATGAACTCGGTTGTATAATAATAATAATAATTGTAAAGCAGCGCAATCTGGAAGTGATTGAGTGAGGCCGCTAGTTCTTTCCCGGTTTTGAAAACTCAATACATTGCAAGGACTAGCAAGGACTGCCACCGAATAGTCCAGAACATTTTTGATAAGAAAATGAAACACTAAAATTGAGGTGGATTGAAAAGGTTTATTGTCTCAGATAATAACCTTGAAAAAGTAGCTAAATGTTGAAAATTTCTACACGAAAAAAAAATTTGCATATCGTTTTTAATACAGATCAGAATATAATGCATTAGTAATTTTTTTTACCATTTTGGAGCAAAAGCAGATGAAATCAAAACTGAACCGAAACTAAGAAATCATTAAATTTTAAAATTAAATTTAAAATTTATTAATATAATTTGTTGTATATGCCCAAAAATCCCGAAGAATTTTTGCCCATATTTACTGCAGTTTTTTCTGAGACATTAAAATCGTAAAGTAAACTGACGAGCAAAATCTACAAGCGTCAGAGGTGTGACCCAGCACCTGTCCTGCTTGTCTTGCACATTTTTTTGCCCAATGCCGTGCGCTATGCAAAGGTCAGGAGTGCAATTTATATTTATGTTCTGAACAACCTCCGCAGACGCACCAGAATGCAATTATCGCGGGAAAAGGCGAGACGCGTGCCCATAACAAGCTTTTCTGCTTATTGTCGATCCATGGCAAAATAATAATAAAACGCGCACGCGGTGATGTATAAAAATACAAAAATAGCATATTTATCTCAAATTAGAGCAGCTCGACGTCGCATGAAAGGACGTCTTGTAAATAAGGTAAGTGCAAGTTCTATTTTTTTTTTTTAGCATCGGGACAAATCGTCTGGTGAGCAAGGAAATAACTTTCCTCAAACCCTCGCTGTCAGCAAATTTTGTGCTTCTAAAATAATACTGAGAAAGTTGAGAATGGCAAAAACCTTGTAGCAGAGATGAAACGTTTTGCGTCAAAATTTAAACGAGAGAAAGTATTAAAAAACAACAATTGAAATATCGATAAGGACGAAAATCAGAAATGATTTAAATTTACCAACACTAAATTTAATATTATTGTGAATTCACCTGTTGAGTAATTCAATAACAATAATAGCATTGGTACTTATGACAGCCCTACTATATTGCATCTTTTTAATCCTATGATATGTTATACTACATTAAAAATTAAATTTGGTTCAGCGTGGGGCTATAGTCAGGCGAACAAAGATTGGTAAAGTATGCAACCGAAGTCAATTCTTTGACTTTTTGTCATAAGAACAATGTTATTGAATTGTACAACTGGCGAATTGAATCAAAAGTGAGCTTTTCCTTGATTCTTGAATTGTTAAATGAATTTTTGTTTCCATTGTTAAAAAAGCTGAACTTTAAAAAGCCATCTAGGAAAAGTTGAATCAAAGGTAAAAAACATATTTGGAATCAACCTTCAATCGTAAAATTCTTCCACTAATTTTAAATATAGCTTTTGAAATGCAACTGAAAGATAAATCGCTCAGTACATTCAAGGTGCACTGAATAATAAGTTGGACGTGTTGGGACGTGTATTATATCGTGTGTGGATCGATTATCCGGCGTTGTGGTGCGTAACAACGACTGAAAATTTGCAGTTTGATCAGAGAAGTAATATTTTATTGTCGACGCCCTCTTGTTGCGGATTTTTCTACGCCTCTGGAAAGTACATACAAGAAGTCGTTTCAGGATACGGTCGTACTTAGAGTCCTGCGGGTGAGGTAATGCCTCGCTGCTCTGTTTGTTCGAAACAGTCACGACGACATTTCGAATCGGCACTTGTGTTTGTGCATTTTGTGCCCTTCACTGAGAGCGAGCGATTACGATCATGCCCATTCACCTCAGCCATCCTGTTGTTGTACTATTAGCTCACTTGTTGCACCCACATATAAATACATGCACGTTAACCAGTTCCTTTTTGCGCTAATCTCGCGCAGACACTCGACCGACTCCGCCGAAAGGGATTTGTTTTTAAAGGGCATCGGGATAATATGGAGAGGCTTACACTGTGTTAGATACTTTTAAAGAGGATGCTATTTTTATTTTTACAGTTTTAGGCATAATTAAGTTAAATATTTGAAAGAATATCTTGACTACTTGAGCAGTAGAATATATGATAATAATTTTAGGAACTTTCGTCTATCTGGAATGTAATTTATTTATGCCATTTTAAACTTATATTATGATTATGATGGCAAAATTAATGATTATAGAAACAAGTTAGCATGTCGTTTGGCTTAATTTTAGTGTTTTGCTGCTTGGTGTATTTTTGAGAAGAAATTTGTGAAATAGTTAGTTCAGATAATAAGATAATATCAAGATTCAGATTTTGAAAATTTGTTTTTAAATGTTATTTTAACTTAGGCGGAAGTTTATAATTGGGAATTGGGAAATTCAAACAAAGCTATAGATACCATATTGGCTTTTGGAAATAAAAAATAAACAAACTTTTTGTAGCAGGAGAAACAAATTTTAAAAGAAAAAAGAAGAAAAGGGCTGTGAGGCTCTTCGCATCCTCTTTAATCCGCTCGACTTCTGAGATAGCTGCATGTGCTGACAAGGCTCACTAGTGTCAAGAAATTTCAATGCTTTGCTTATAATTTACAGCTTCGTGACGTGCGAAGACTTTTAAAATGCATCTGGATAGTAAAAGGAAAAAAAGGAGAACTTGTGAATTATGAATTAACTCTACAACGGACAACCAACTTTTTCAAGGAATTTCAGTAATGTAATTACCGAAATACCTTATAAGGATAAGAAGTTTCAAGTGCAAAGGCTAAAGAGACTCATAAACACTTTCTTAATTGCATTTAAAGGTGGTTTGTGTTGATAGTGATTTTTTTAATAGAATTTTGCATTTAAATGTAATAATTTTTGGTTTCACTTCTCTGAAATTGGGTACTTATTAAATTTTTGAAAAAATTAATGTACTAGCTCTTTTTTAATATTTATGCAACATCATTTCTTTCAGTAACGTATAAATATTGCATGTTTTTATAGATGCTCTGATTTAAAATCATAATTGTATTCAATTTTCTAAAAAAAAAAAACAATCAAACAGAGATTTGGGTTTTTCAAGGTCATGTCCTTCGTGATGATAGGAAAAAATTATTCATTGATTCAGGCTCCCTTTATTGCACCCATGTTAACTGGTCGACCCTTGTGTTTAAGCCATTGTTAACACTGATTGCCCCTCCATAGCCTTGGCAGAGGATATATCAATTTTAATAACTTAGCTTGAGATAAGTTATGTTCCACTTGTCTTCCTCAGAGAAGCTAAATTTAAAGTTAAATATTCATAAGAAAAGCCTGAAAATAGAATATTATGAGAACATATTGCTATTTTAATTTGCCCCAAAATTCATCCCTAGCAACGGCTTGTAGCTAATTAAACTATTCTGATTATTCAAAATCTGCAAGACTGTTTACTTTTACATACACAAAGTTTTATCTTAAATTTGCAATGGAAAATAATCATTTTAGAGGCTCAATTTTTCCCTCAAAAATTACGTGAAATTAATTTTTGACTCAATTTATAAATAATTATATATCAGGAAAGAAATAAAAATAATACATACTAACGACAAAACTTAAATAAATAATGATAAATAATGAAATACAAACATTCAAACCTGATTAAAATTTAATTTAATTGCCCTCTTTTTTAAGTTACTCAAATAATCAGTGAAGTAAGTATTATAACAAAATTTGCATCATTATTAAAAACCTTGGATTGGCAAAAAGGATAAAACTATAAACGCGATCCAATAAAGCAGCGAACTGTATATAAAAAGTGAAGAATTCATAGTCTATTTTTGCAGCCCCAATGTTATTGTTGGCCGAATCGCGCGCTCGGCGGCAAAAAATGCAATTCAGCTACGAATCCCCACAAGTCCCCGCTCTGGCCGCGGGTCATGTAGCCGGCACAATACCCCGACCGTCACGACAATTCAAAATATCCAGCACTCGGGAGAATGAAAGAAAGCAAGGGTGACGGTTTTTGGCACGGTTCTCCACTTAAATATCTCCAGGCAGCAAGCGCGTGAGAAAGAACATTTTGCAGAGAATCTTGGCAGGAGAAGAAGAGTGCTCGTATCAATTTGTAGGAGTGCATGTTTACTCAGCAGATCGATACAAAACTCAGCCAGCACCGATCGAATGAAAGGAAAAGTAGCACACCGCAGGGGAGGAAAAAGAAAATTGAAGAAAAGTTGAATTTACCTCGGTTTTCTCGGCGGCGTGGACTTGGTCCATTTCGCATCGGCCCCTCTGCGAATCACTCTTCAGTTGGCGTCCTCTCGGAGGATCTCGAATTGACAAAAGTTGCGTCGCGGATAGGGCTTCGCGCGACTGAAAGATAGCCCCAATGACGACGAGCGCAGTACGCACGCACCAGAGGGCTCCCCTTCGGCCAAAGTTTATTTTGAATAATGATTCTATGTGGCAGCCAACGAACCAGAGATGCAATTCCCCTCTGATGAAAAGAAAAGATTTTGCCGTGCCACACAAAACTTCCTCCCTGGAACGCTTTTCCCGATGCTGTAATTGGGAGGTAACTCTTGTGAGAGTCGCCGTTATTTCCCCTAAATTCATTTGTACTAAAAATGCTTCAGATTTTGGTTTTGCAGAAGAAAAATTTCTTTCAATGGGCAGTGAGGATTATTCAATAGAGTAATCCTCCCGTTGTAAAACATTTGCTACGAACAAAGCTATTATCCCGAGAAATATCTGGAAAAATTTACTCGTAATTACAAAAATAATAATTATAAAGGTCTCGAACCTTCATTTCGCTTAGTTAAACTTAAATTTAAAAATTAATGGTTTTTATAAATAAAGTAGCTCATTTGATTGACAAGGAAGCACCTATTTCAACTATTTTAGTAAGTAGCAACCTATTTTGGTAAAAAATAATCAGTTGTGAATTTATCACCAATTGATATGTAATTATTTTTATTTTATTTTTTTATTTTTTTTTGTAATTACTAATTTTTTGAAAAAGCCCATATGAATTAAAAAATTACACTTTAAAAATTTCATAAAAAAAATTCTTCCATGCAAAATCTTCACTTCGGCTTTTTCAACAAAAAGCAGCAATTTTTGTTAAACTGTCAGCTGAAAAAATCTACTATTGTGCAAAATAAATCATTCATTTTGTCTCCAGCGTTTTCTAGATTTATATTTTTTATGGACGAATCCTGTTCAGAAATTTTGGGATGGTTAAAATTAGGGGAAATAAGGGTATCCCACTTCTTCAGTGGCGTTCCTGCGCAGGAACGCTTCTTTTTTTCTTTCTTTTGTTTGCCCATAATGAGGGCGCACCATCCAATGAATAGGGTGGAAAAAATCTGCGAGATAGAAAACGGATGTCGTCGTGTAAACAGCATCACGTGATGTATAGCATGGAATGACATACAGGCTTCTGTGTCGTGCTGTAACAAAGGCAATAAAAAATGTCTCGTTTATATGCGTGCGTACCCTTGACTGTCGCGAACACAAAATGTAAGAGCTTTATATCATGTGCAGTTATACTTATATTATATTTATCTACATTTTATGTATTGTAAGTGCTCGAGGCGGCTCGAGGGAGATTGTAGTTTATGCATCTGTCGAGGAAATAGAGTGACAGAATTATATATTTCATATAATAAATATAACAGTTATAGTTTTAATAGACTTGCTACAATATTTTTATATCTCTTTCTCTCGGGGATATTACTCAATTAAGTATGTATTATATTTATTTTACTTCCTTGTACGGTTCAACAATGAGATAAAAAACTGTAGGGAATTTAGACTTTTTTTTCCCTCAACTTAACACAAAGTATAGAAAAATTTATAATTTTTACATTTCTTAATATTTTAGTATAATTAATAATTAAATTTTGTCCTTGCGTTTAAATATATTTTTCCTCTCAAATTTGAGCAAGTTGATTTTGATGATGAATCATTAAAAAAAGTTATCAAAATCTTAATTAAAACAGTGGTGTGTACCTCTGCTTTTGAATTGTGCATTATATTAATTTGTTATAATCATTTTATGTTAATCTCAATGCCACGAGTCTCGTGGCTTACGCATTTTCATACCCCTGCGCTATAATTAAAATGCTATCATTTGCAAAGCAGCTGCCTGCTCGTGCAAAAAGAGATTGTCGGCGCACATTTATCAAAGGAACGAAATATTTTCATGCAACTACCAAGGAAGGCGCACGCTCGATTTAAAATGTTGACTCTGGCAATGAAAAAAATCAAACCTCCACTTTTCTTGAGCAGCGCCACGAAAATATTAATCCCCGGCAGACCCTGACAGAGGCTGCTTTACTTTTTTTTTTATATTGCAGAAACACAATACAAAGGTATATATGTGTTTGTTTCACTGCACATGCATAAATATACGTATCGATGATCGTAATCAAGCCCATAAATTACTCACAATGGCGGAAGGTTTTTCACAACCGAGTTTCAGACCAAATAAGCAATGAGTAGAAAAAATGCACTAAAAAAGTGAGTGGAAGGTACCCATGTACATTTTTATTTTATTAATTAGAGCATTATTCTCTTTGAAAAGATACTTCCTGCTTGACGACTTTTTTTGAGCACGCTTTTTTTAAACTCCACTAAGAAAAAACCAGAGGAAGTTTGTTGGGTGCAGGTTCGCCTTGACTCTGTAATTTCCCTGGCTATTTTTTAAATTTTGACATGAGCGAACTTGCCAGCAAATTTATTTACGACAGCGGCCAGACACGTTTTTTTTTAAGTGTTGCAAAAAGTGTATGGAGGTGGGCGGAAGAAATAAATATTTTCAATCAATCAAGATACTAAATTTAAAATCAGTGTCAGATCAAATTTAATTATTCTTTGCGGTCGTGGCCCCTGCGGCTAACAAGGAGAGAACTGAAACATTCATTCATGGCGATTTGAATTTACTTCTTAAATCAACTATCAAACTTATCTAAAAGAGACGTTTAGTGTAGTGAGCCAGAACAAATTAATTATCAAAAATTACTTTATTTGTTTATCTAAAAACACGGAAACAAAAAATTGCTCATTCCTCTTGAACGGACCATGATGGAATTTTAATAGTTATACCTTGGGGAGGAAAAGGACTTCAAGGCTATAAAATAAATTTAAATATTGAACTGAAAATGGAAGCAGCAAGTTGACGTTTGTTAATGTACAAATGCAAACTGTTTATCTGACAACAATATAAACGTGAACATGTTCACCGAAATTGCAGTAAGAATTGAAAATGGGAAAATAAATGTTGCTTTTATGGCTATATTGCCCAAGTGGAAGTTTCCAAAACGTTTGAAATGGGCTTATTTAAAAAGCACCAGCAAATAGCGCCCCATCCAATAAAATTAATTAATTAATTTACTGTTTACTTCTCATTTTTTTATATTTAATAAAACTTTTTCATTTTTAATTCTAGAGGGTTTTACCAAGAAACGTGAACTTATATTATAAATCCTCTATACATACTTCTGAGTGAGTCGATAACAAAATTTTGTAAGATGTTCATGTTGGAGATAAAGATGTCATGTCACAAGTAAAATGAACATTAAAAGGAAAAAAATAGCAAACCAAGCTAAATTAAGCATTTCCTACTCGTGCATTCTCGCCAGACCCAATTGAGGCAAATTGACATCCGCCCTGCAGTCTGCCGCGCCAAACCGATTGCACATGAAACGGCAAGGCTTTTCGATCATTTGGTCCGAGTAAAAATCTCGAGCGTCGTCCGAGAGAGGCAGAAGCGATCGCTGAAGGCACGAGGCGGGTAGCGAGCGTGGCCGCGAGGTGGAGGCGCGAGGCAGTTGCCAGGAGGAACGCCGAGTCGCACCTCGGCCGCCAGAGGGTCCGTCCGGCGGGACAGAGTGGAAGACCTTGTGCGGTGTCAGTCACCAGCGCGAGTCCGCCTAGGAGAGACATGGTACCATGAGGATGTCAAGGGTCAACATGGTGTGGCGCGTCGTTATGTGCACGGTGGTTTTGCTGGCGGGGCAGGTGCGGGCCTTCAACCTGGAGACGCGGCTGCCGCTCGTCAAGAACGGCGCCGACGGTGTCTACTTTGGATTCTCAGTCGCCGAACACCAGATCGTCGACTCGGTCACCAACAATTCCTTGGTCACCGACAGCTGGTAAGTACCACAAAAACAATTAAAATAAAATTTGCAAAAAATAAGATTAAAAAGAAAAATTTGAAATAATATAAGAGAGAAAATATAATTATTTATTTATTTATTTTTAAATTATAACAACACCGGTAAGCAATAAATACTTAATTGAATTAAGTAAAAAGCAAAATTGAACATATATATGAAGAAAAATTGAAAAGTTTAAAAAAATTGGAGTTTTGGAAGTTTCACCTTTTCCTCTTCAGGTGAATTATTTACAGCCCCCACTTCACAAGTTTCCTTTCTTTCCTCCCCTTATGCATTCTCTCCGTTTTTGTGAGAGAAGGTCGCGCTTCAAAGGGTTTATGTATTTTCCTCCATTGGGGCCGGCGCCGAGTTAGTTTTGTAGTTACCTTTGCTGCACATACCTGACCGCCGCCATGATGAGCGCAGGTGCGAGAGAGGTGTGTTAGTTGTTGCTGGGTATTTGCGTTGGCCGCCGAGTACTCGCTGATAATCAGATTAGACCCGGTGTGATTTAATATAATTGAAAAATGCGTGCCCCTTTTATTGCCACAGGTTGCTTGTACTCAACACGTGCGTGCTCAAAGGAGTGTGAAATAATAATTCACAGCACAAAGTGGTAATTGAAAGGGGAGCACCACTATTGAATCAAAACGCACAGGATGTGCAACGGCAATCGAAAATAAAAAGAAAGAAGAAGAAGAAATTGCCGGCACATTTTCTGACGACGTGTTTCTTTCTCTTGATCCGATTCCGTTGCTTCGGAGATGCTGGACCGAGCAGAGCTTTCTTTCTTTCTTTGTTTTCTTTGGATATAATGGGCCGGTGATGGCGTGAAAAATCCGTCTGGACCGAGTCTATCAAGGCGAATACAATGAACTTGCGATTGACTTGTCACTCACTAGAGTGTTTTGACGTTTCTCATTCGCGGCCACTTATTAAACACACACTTTCGCATTGTTGCCCGCCTGAAATGTAATACACAACTCTTGAAACAGTTTCTTTTGATTGCAAAAGATGCAGCATTGTTTATCCGATTTGGCGTTCGTTATCTTAATTGTGAATCTACCTAATACCTGTCAATCAAGTTAAATTGCTCAAAATAAGTTCATTAAGCATACTACAAATTATTATTACAAAGTTATTTTAATTTTTTATGAATTTTTATTCTATTTTTTAATTTAATAAGTAATTTAAATAAAATTGTGATTTATAATTAATTTTTATGTTAGATATAAATATATTGTTTGTTTTTATTTGAACACAATTTTGTGAAATAACTTTGATAACTTTGATATAATAATTAACTTCAGATTCAACTTTAACAATTAGATAAAGTTATTCAAATTGAAAAGATTATTGAAGTGCACATTTTTTACTGTTTTAAACATATTTGATAATTGCTTAGCAGCTAAGTTGTTTATTAATTTATATAAAATACTATTTAATATTAAATGTTAATAATCATGTATCATTGAAATTTAACAATTGTGTAAGATCATTCTTAGCAATTTTGGATGCAGACGCACTTATTCTGTAGAAAATGGAAAGAAATATAAAATAAAGTGAATAAATTAGGCGGCAAACTAAATATTCTAGCTAAGAAACCACCTAAGTTTGGTGGTTTTGGATTTTGGTTAATTGTGAGTCTGGACACCGCCGATCTTTCCTGTCGCAACGTCGGCGGTTGAGCTTTACTACTACAATAATTTTAGTTTATTCAAGCACAGGATGTGCAATTAAAACAAAGAGCAACACGCGCTCGTCTGCCGGTCGGCCGCCTTCTCCATAAAACACTCACGCGGCGCTCGTCCTCGTCCGTCCGTGCGGAGGGCTCCATTATTCCACTACATTGGTTATTCACGAGTCTTTCATGCGGTTTCTCGGAAAACCACAAGCGCAGCAGCCGACAGAATAATTAACCTGCCGCTCGTCGATGCTGTGGTTTCTTCCGACACCATTCACTTTCAGAGGAACTAACGCTTGCTCATGATCAAATGCATTCTTTATTATGCTAATGGGATGTGATGTCACATTTCACACTGGAATTTTGCTGAGCAGGGAAATTTCCTTTCACACCCAATTATTGTTTTTGAAAAGTCTCAAATTTTGTTTTTCCTTAAAAAAATATTTAATTATGTTCCGCACAGGACGAATAATAATGCAAGCATATTGTGTGGGAAAAAATTCATCTTAATTATAGAGTTGAGGAAGAGCATGAGAAACTGATAGTGATTTTTTTTTATGAAAACAGCAATATGTAAAAAATAAGATTTCTCGAGAAATAACCAAAACATCTTTTGTTCAAAGTGCATAACATTGAAATTATTACAAAGACATTCGCAAAATTTTGCCGGAGAGTTTTGAATGCTGGTTTTGAGCAATATGAAAAAAACTTGTAATACTTAAAAAAATATTCTGATCCTTTTCTAAAAACAGTTTGAAAAAATAAAAATCAGTCATTTTACGAGGAATTTCCAATAATAAATGGATATAGTAAATTTCTGTGCAGCTCAGTATGGAATATAATTTTTGTTCAGTCAAGCATAAATTGAGATAAATTGATTGGAAAAATTACAAAATTTCCATTGAAAATGTACTGTTATTGAAGGTTGTTGCTAATAATTCATGCAGGCCCTACTATAACTGACTAATGAGCTTCCTATGATGATTCTTCTGCATGCTCCCCTGCATATTACGCACGCACCGGTGGGTCGCGCTCATACAGGGATCAAATGATAGCCCTCTCTGAATGCACATGAGGCTTAATTTGATTCATTTCTGCAACGCTCCACACAACTACGTACATGCTGCGTGGGGTCGGAATGAACATGCTGATGTATATATTATTATAATGATAATAATTATGATGATGATGCGAGACGCAAAGAGAGCAGCTGTGCAGTGTTATTGTATATAAATTTTCAACAGAGGCTAAAAAGCAAACCACCAATCTTCCAATCAGACAAAACGCCAGACTGATATCATGGAGTTTGACCCGACTCACGAGATGAGAAGAGAAAAATTTATTTGAGAGACGGACAAGTCCTCACTTAATAGACTCCATTGTGTTGGTGATGATTATTATTATAGTAAAATTAGATTGCAGCTCTTGTTGTGCCGCCGCTTTCTGATCTGTGGCCCCAGCCAGCGTTTATTTTTTTGTTTTGTGCACCGAGAGTTGTGATGTCGAGAGCGAGGGAATATAAATATAAAGAAGAGGACGTCCTTGATTGTCGATCTACAGCCCCAATTAGGTCTGCGCCGGCAGTCCAACGGTTTGTGAGTCAATTCGTCTGCTCTGCTCAAACAGGTGATTTCTCGATTCCAAAAGTCGGATCAAGAGCAAGGTGCATATTTACATAATAAAAAATAGTACTGGAACAAGCTTTACAGAATTTATTGAGAAATTGATCAAAGCTAAATATTAAAGAAAAAAATTAAAGCGATTTAAAAATAAAACTTAACTTAAAACAAAGTTATTTGAAATTTAAAACAAACTTTGACTTCATAATTTTGAAATTAGAAAATATCCCATAAAATAACACCATAGTCTGTAGAAATATTATGAGGTAAAAATTATTGCTGGTATTTATAATATAATTGAAATAAAACTGAATTTATTACAAGCAAATCACTGAAAAGATTTGCATTTTAAAACCATACTTTCGTGCAGAGGTATTAAATAACCAATAATTGATCTCCTTCAAAGACAAATAATAGCTCTTAGTTCAAACTGTCATGTGGCCATTCACCTAAAAAGAGATGCCGCTGCAATTTTCCCGTCAGGTAAATTTGCTTTTGAACCACATTAGAGCACATTAGTCATACATAAGTCGGACATAAATTTATATTTTTTACCCAAACCTCTAAGCACTGCGCGAGAGCAAAAAACAGAGAGACGCGCCCATTCCATAGATAGATACGATCGCCGCAATTCACCCTAGAGCACTCTACTTTTAATAAAACGAGTGGAGCAGCCACGGGAAATTTATTTCTCTTTAATAGGCATGCCCAGATGCCACCATGCCTTAAAAGCAGTCACTTTTTTACTTGAAAAATACAAAGAGGGGCTCATTATTCACCGAGAGGAGATATTTTCCCCTGCACCTGTACTTGCTTGCTTGCTTGCTGGAGAGTCAACTTCCTCAATGGCTCCATTGTGCATGTATGTGTTTTTTTTTACACATAATATCTGTCTAGGCGTGAGGGTGAATAAAAATACGCCTGCTCATGAATAGACGCCGCGCGCTGTTGACTTTTTCAGCACGAATTTTCTCTCTTGAAAGACGTGCAGCTGCGGAATAAAGTTAAACTGGAAATAGCCGGCCAGTGACATCACTGCTGAATAATTTCACATTCGAAGTTGCAGAACACGGCACTTAATTAATCTGATAATGAACGACCATAAATTGAACCAAATAAGGCGCTCCTTCCTTCCATCGCAGACCAATTTATTTCTTTCCAATGCTCGCCGAGACATTTGTGTAAAAAGTTGCCCAGCAGCCACTGCACCGGGCTGAAGAACATCTTCGGATTTTTTTTCTGTAAAAAAACGTCTCCCCATAATTGGTGCTTTTAACATCGCCACAGCTAATTAATTCACAAACAACGACCGCTCTTCTTCGGTTATTATTTTCTCATGCAATTGAAGAAAAGGATTGAAAATGAAAAACTTTTAAAAATTTTAAATGGATACAAAAAAAATTAAAACTAAATTTTGAACTCTAAAATTAAATCAATTAATATGAAAAGATAAAATTATGGCAATAAAAAAGGGATTTCTAACTTAAGGGTTAAAATTTGATATTAAAAATCGTTTCAAAAAGAATTTATTTTGTATTTCTTAACCAGTTTTCGGAATATTAATATTAATTCTTGTGAGCTTTTTTCTGGAGGTTTTTTCAACTTCATAAAATCCGCGTTAATATTTTTTTACATTTCAACGTCTTTTCTCTGCTCATTAGTAGAGTTTTTAAACTTTGCGGCTGGTCCTCCAA